AAAAAAAAAATGAAGCAGCGTACCTGCCCTTGAAGCTCTTAGAGTTTGTTTGATGAAACAAGAATACAGACAATGACATTTGAGAGATGCAGATGAAAATAGCACTGAGATTCCACCTCACCCCAGAAAGAATGGGTGCTATCAAGAAATCAACCAATAACAAATGCTGGCAGGGCTGTGGGGAGAAAGGAACCCTTCTCCATTGTTGGTCTGAGTGTAGACTGGTGCAACGTTTGTGGAAATCAATATGCAGATACCACAAAGAACTACGACTAGAGGTTTCATTTGACCCAGCCATCCCTCTGCTGGGTATCTTTCCAAAAGAATTAAAAGAATCATACCACAGTGATATATGCGCACCCATATTTATAGTGGCACAGTTTGTAACAGCTACAACTTGGAAACAGCCCATTTGCCCATCAGTTGGAGACTGGATAAAGAAGATGTGGTTTTTCTATAAAATGGGGTACTACTCAGCCATAAAGAATGAGAAACTAGAGTCATTCATAGGAAAATGGATGCATGTTGAGGCCATACTGTATGAAAGGAATTGGCAAGTGACACACAGGCAGCAGAATGGAAGTAAAATAAAAAAGTTTACACCATCGATGGGGATTGATGACACCTAATGGCGGTGCCCTGATTGACCCCCCGCATTGGGTTGCAACTCCTTCTTTTATAGGGTTTTACAGCTTTGATCTTACTCAGTTGGTTACACTGCATTTTCACAGCTCACATTGCTGATACCCAAAACATAGTAGCAAGGCAGTTGAATTTCAACCCGGATGCAGTTCTTCGTCAGAGAAGTTACCTTTAAGATTTACTCAGTTACCTATTCTAGCCAGGAAGAAGGGAGCCTGTTTGGTCAACAAAGCTAACAGTAGTTCTTTTCATTTACAAAACTTTTGTGGGAGACTAGGTGCCTCCCAGTACCAGTACCAGTTCATTCTGAACTAAGCATAGTGAGGGGCAGAAGTTATCTTACATTGTGACATTTCCTACATTTTCACTTCTAAAGTTTTCCCTATTGATACTCTTAAGTGAAATAAATAAGACACACATATAAATACCAAACAGTTTCTCTGGTGTGAAAAACTAAAAGTGTAAATAAGATCCTAATCGAATAACGGATAATGTGAAATAGGAAGAAAAGGGCTAAAGATGTAGGGAAAGTGGGAAGGGGGGAAGGAAATAAGGGACAAGAAAAAATATGAGAAAAGGAAGAAATGGAAATGAAGACTGTAAATAAGGAAAGGTGGAGGGGGTGAAGGGAGGGCAGGGATAAGGGGAAAAAATGAGAACTAAGACCTGTCATGTAAAGGTACAAGATCCCAATGATGAATGTAACTGTACTGTATACCTAAAATGCACCAATAAACTTAATGAAAAAAGAAAAAGTTTACAGACACTGATACTGTCAAGAAAAAAAAAAGAGATGAGGGGAGGTGTTGAATAGAGCTATAAATTCTTATGCAAACCAATTCAAAACTGTTCATGTGTAATATGTTTGGTAAGTAATAAATCATTTAGTCTCGATGCTAAGCTTTAATTCATTACCATAAGGCTAAGTGTGTTATGCATTTCTTTATAGCAAGTTTATTTCTGACCGTGAAAGTAGAAGAAGTCTCACAAACAGCCATTTGGAGAAAAAGAAATGCGATGACTATGTAAGTATCATTAACATAAGTGTGCTTGTTTTTTTGACCACCTAAATTGGAACAGATGTTTCTAATTCATGTAGCTTAGCACCAAAAGCATAACTATATCTATGCATTTTTCTCCTGAAACCTATTTTAAAACATAGTAACTGGACCACTGAGAAAGAATGTCTTGGATTTTTATTTCCATGGTGGTTCCTAAGAGCGCTTTACAGGCTTTGGCTTGATGAACTTTCTTGGAGACTGCTTGGCTCACTGTGAATGTTGATTTCTTTGTTCAGATTCCAGGAACAACCTCGCTGGGCATGTCTGTCTTCAACCTAAGCAACGCCATCATGGGCAGTGGGATTCTGGGACTTGCCTTTGCCCTGGCGAACACTGGAATCCTTCTTTTTCTGTGAGTCTTGACGTGACTAAACTTTCCATTTTAGAACTATTTTCTGTAGGCTTCTGTTATGACAGAAAAAATTGGAAATGTTTCTAAATAGTTCCTATTTATTTTTTATTAACTGGGTAAGTGAGTGGTACATATTTTTATATTTATTGTTTGAGTGACTTTCCAAAATATACCTAATGCTTACATGAAAGAGGAAGATGGGGCTGGGAATTTAGCTCAGTGTTGTTCCTCTCAAGTGCAAGGTCCTGAGTTCGATCCCTGCTACCCCACCCCACAAAAAAAGAAAGAGGGAGAAAAATCTTTTTATTAATTAAAAATATTGAAGTAAGTATTTGTAAAAAGATTTGTTTACACATTTGGAAATAACTCTTTAAAATTTTTGTTTGTTTGTTTGCTTTTTGACACCAGGGATCGAACTTGGGTCCTTGTGCTTACAAGGCAGGTGGCAGAACCACTGAGCTAAATCCCCGGCCCTACTTTTTATTTTTATATTTTTGAATTCTACACTGTCACCTTAAATCTCAACTAAATGGTCAAAATATTAAGAGTTATTTAATCCGGTCAGTTACCACTTTGATATCTGGATTGCTGTGGAGCATGTATGGTGTGTAGATGTGTTTGTAGTAAATACTTAAGAAGAGAGATTTTCAGAGCTTTGGATGCAACAAATTAGCATTTTTTTTCAGTCATTCCAAATCTGGAAATATGTTTAATTTCAAAATGTGTATGCCATTTATTTCTGGTTTTTTTCTTTTTTGTTATTGTACTATATTAAGTTGTTAACATAGTGTAAAAAGACAACTATTTTATGCTAGTGACAACTGTAGCAGCTTGCTCTTTGTGCCTTGTACTATTCTGTTTTATTCTAAATCCTTCCAACACTAGGAAGTCAGTCCAATTGTTTGTTCCCTGTTTCATAGATAAGAAACTGAGGCATGGAGAGAGTACCTTGTATTTGACGGTGTCTTGTCACCTTTTTGGGGACTCCCTCCTTTGCAATTAATCCCTTGATTACTTTGTTTTGCATCCTGGATTGTGCTGATTGCACCTGTGCAGTCCGAGTTGCTATTCTTTTGTTCTGAGCTCTATCTTCCATCTTAGACTCTCCTCAGATATCAGTGGCTTCCCTGTGTGCTATAGTCAGGAATGAGGAAAAAGCAAAGGTCATTTGTGCCTGGTGCTCTCATGTGGTATTTACTGGTAATGGCTTCACTTGAAATCTTCACAGTGCCCCTTCTCTTGAGAAAGATAGTTTCTCTAGGATACTAGAACTTCAGCCACCCAGATCACCCAGGAAGGTCTGACTCCTGCCCTCACGGTCAGAGCCTGGCTGCCATCTTTCTGAGAAAGGGACCGGGGGGTGGGAATATCCCTGCATGCATGTCCTCTCAACCCCCAGTTTTCGTTACCATACTCCTCCCCACAAAGTGTACCCAGTCCTTCGCCCAGAGCTCTCTGTTTTATTCTATTGAGTATCTTCAGACTTCTCCAGTACCGGGCAGGAGCAACCCCATAGCTTTGTAGAGTAGAAGCCTGGTCTGGGGATCCTAGCTGTGCCTTCAAGCAGAGTCAACATATTTAGCATATTTCAGCTCATTCCCCCCATTGTTTCTTGCTTCCAGTTGTGCCGCTTAGGCGTTTGTGGGGTTCTGTGGTACAGATGGAGTTGGTCTGGACTCATTCCCCGTCAGTTCAGGATTCAGTTCTGCTACCTTCCAGTCATCAAATTTGTGTTCTGTTGTTTTTCCTCATGTTCTTACTGTTCTGGCACCTTTATACCTTTAAAAGAATAAAATAAAATCCTTTTACTTGTGTATCAGGAGGAACAGAAGTAAATTCTTGTATCCAATCTACCATTCCTGGAAACCAATTGATTTTTTAATTACACTGGCTCAGGGACAATTTATCTCCTAGTTCATGGCTGTTTAATTCCCTCATGAAGTAAAGAATTGGATAAATTTGACTTTTATAGTAGAAGGAAGATTTTTCCCTGGATAAAACCATTTAGGTTATTTAAGTATTTGTAAGAAGCATGAATAGCAAGCACCACACACCACATCTTGGATGATAGCTTGTGAAGGTAGTTGTATAAAGACTTGAGTTTAGCCAGGCATGGTGGTGCACACCTGTAATCCCATCACTCAGGAGGCTGAGGTAGGAGGATCGCTGTGAGCTCAAGGCCAGCTGGGCTACATAGTGAGTTCAAGGCCTGCCTGAAGTACATGGCAACACCCTGTCTCAAGAAACAATAGGAGAAAAAAAAAAGGCTCAAATTTAAAAGTTTCTCACAGAATATAGAACTCTTCCACCCCAGAACAAAGGCTTACTCTGTGACTTTTGTAAAACCAGCTGCTCCTACAGCTGCTGAAAGCCAAGGAGCTGTTGGCAGAATCCAAACACTTCATCTGGTACAGAGCTCTGCTCCAGGCTCCAGGGCCAGCCCTGAAAAGAAGTCCAAAACTGTCTTTAGAAGCACAACTGGGAGGGCTCCTCCATGTCGCCCTGGAGCTGGGTGCAGCCTCTTCACTGGAGTCAGCTGGAAACTTGTTGGTGTGATTTCTTCTTCTTGGATGAGTTTGGGCTCATTTTTTTTCTTTCTTTTTTTTTTTTTTTTTTTTTATTTTTTTTTTTGACCTAGCTATAATGGCTGTCGTTTCTGTTTAACACACACCTAATTCAGTTAAATTCAATGAGTTCTGCCCTATTGTAAAAATACTGTTAGGTTCTGAATTTTCCTAAATTCTGTGACCTTGTAATTCCAGACCTTTTGAAAAAAGTCTTGTTTTTCATTTTTTTCTTTCTTTCTTTTTTTTTTTTTTTTTTTTTTTTTTGGGAACTGGAGATCAAACTCAGGACCTTGCGCTTGTAAGGCCGATGTGGCACCACTGAGCTAAATCCCCAGTCCTCATTTTTTAATCTTACTTGGGTTGTGGTTGTGGGAATAAACTATCTATCTAAAAACACTTTGAACAGTGGCATGCAAGAAAAATTTTATTAATCAGTACCAACCCTAAGGGCTGTTAGAGGACTAAACGAGTGTGGGGTATGTGTGTGTGTGTGTGTGTGTGTGAACGTGTGTATATGTGAGTGTAAGGAAGAGACACAGCACCAGTGGTCCCTGTGTATAGCACAGGTTATATGGTAACTATTTATTAAAGTATCATGGTTATTATTAGGTAGTCACTAAATAATGGTTAACATTTATTGAACAGCAATTATATAGAAACTGTATGAGCCAAGTTGTCTCACCTGTTTCCCACCTACAGCACTGTGGGAGAGTGCTAGCTCCATTTTCCGGGTGAGCTGACTGAGGCTTAGAAACTTTCCTATGATGGTGAGTTAGATCAGAGGGTGCCAGTGCCCCATCCAGGACGGCCTGACTCTAGAGCAGGGTGAGCTAAAGCACCATCCTGTGCTTCATGTTGCTTTCTTCAGCAATCAGCTCTGAATTATTAATACACAGCACAAGGGAAATTTTATCCTCATCAGTGGGTGTTTGCTTAAGTTAAAGCGTACTTTTTAATTTTCCAATATACTTTAGCTTTAAAACCACCTTCAAAAATCATCAGCATTCCCAAATTATCTTGCTTGTGTTCCACTGAGAACCATCCTCTTTACTGTAATGAAAATAGCTTTGTAATATTGAGCACACTAACTTGTAGCTTGGAAATAGAGTCAAGCCCTTGGTCACAGTGAGTATTGTGGGCCTCAAGTATATTGCAAAACCAATAGCCCTTCTGATCCACTTCATGTTTTTTCATATGGACTGCCTAGCTTTCTCTCATGTAGATTTTTATTTCCCCCAGACTGCCTCTGAAGTCATCGAATTTAATTTGTTTCAAAAGAAGTAACTAAGCTTTTTGTTATTAACAGGTAAACACCTGTAATCCCAGTACTCAGGAGGCTCAGGCAAGCGGATTGTGAGTTCAAGGCCAGTTTAGGCTGCATAGTGAGATTCTGTCTCAAAAATAAATAAATAAGTAAATAAAATAAACACCAAGTAATAGCAGAGTCAAATAATACCAAGTCTGTCTTTAGGGAATTGGTTAAATTATCATGATAGTTCTATAAAATAGAATACTAGGTACTACTTAAAAGATACGGTGGCACATACCTGTCATCCTAGCACATGAGGAATCCAAGGTGGGAGGATTATAAATTCACGGCCTGCCTGGAGGACTAAATGAGACCCTGTGTCCAAAGTAAAGAGAGCTGGAGATATAGCTCGGTGTGGAGGCCTAGGGTTCAATCCCGAGAGGGTGGGGGGAGGGAAAGGGACTTTCCTGCTGAGCATGTAGCACATGCCTGTAATCCCAGCACTCAGGAGGCTGAGACAGGAGGATTGTTGTGAGTTCGAGGCGAGCCTGAGCTACATAGTGAGATCCTATCTCATTACAAAAAAAAAGGAGACACTTACATGGACAGGTAAAGAAAAATTTCCCAGGAATATTATTGGTGTAAAGAAACTGGATGTTGGGTAGAAGGGAGCATGCAGTGAGATGGTGTATATATGCATTGCCCAGAATAGTTCAGGAGGATAGACAGCTGTTGACAGTAGAGTCTAGGGGTGAAGTAGAGATTGAACATTTATACTCTTTAATTTATTTTTGCCATATTTTTTTGGTACCAGAACTCGAACTCAGGGCCTTGCACTTGCCAGTTGCTGTGCCATGAGTTAAATCCCTGGTCCTTTGCCATATATTTTTAAAACTAGCTCGAAAAAATTGTGTCTGGAGAACTTAAAACCAGGACAATAAAACTTTCCTTTTCCTCTTACCTAGAGAAAGCTTGAGAAAATACTTTTGATGTCTATATTTAGACCAGGAGAGCTAGAACAAGGAATCCGTTCTGTGCAAAATGCTCCAAACTGTATTTCCAACCTCATCTCCTTTCAGATTATCTCTGCCTGAGCCAAACGAATCTCCCCCTCTACTGTCACCCACAGTGCCTGTTGCTGTCACCTCAGCCCCCACCCCCTATCTCCATGCCTCTGAATCCTG